CCCTGGGCAAAACATTTAAGGACCTCTAAGGGACTTATTATGACCTTCTACTTACTACTCTTGAAAGACATATTTCCCAATAGGAATCCTTACCCCTGTCCTTGGGAGAGAGAAGTAGTACTGTTATAATGACTGTTCTGGCTAAATTTGTTCTGTTCCAATGTCTCTCAATTTTTCTCTAAATTGTCTTTTTCAAAACTGGATAGTTTGTTCTCATGCTATACATGACTCACATGTTCATGCCTGTATTTAAAAGATATCTATCACTTGGACAGTAAAAAGTAGCAGAACAACTGATACTGTTTTTTTAAATAAATTATTACTTCCACAATGTTTCACAAACCCCTATCCATAATGCTTACTGTGTATGTGTCCATATAGGAACTACTGTTGTATATAGTGTCTTGTCTGTTTTATTTTTGCATTCTTGGCCAATTTTGTACTACTTTGCTATCTGTCTCAGCTGTGGTAACACAAACATTTCCCCACTGTGGGATCAATAAAGCCTTATCTTATCTTTCACAATAGGCACCCAAGGGCCAATATAAATGTGTTACATCAACCCCGTGATCTGGGGGGCATGGCACAGCCGAATTTTATACATCATTACTGGTTATCTAATATCAATGTATTTTCTTTTGGCTGAGGGGAAATGTCATTATGCCAAGTTAAGTGGCTGTGGAGGAAACTTTGTCTCTAAGCTCACCCACATGAAACAGGCATGTTAATCCGTTGATTGACTCTGCATGATGCTATACTAAAATGCTGTACTGGAATTGTTTCTTTCTTTCCCTCCAAGCATTAAAAAGCATTGAAATGACGTGTAGAACTCATGGCTGTGGCTGAACGCTGACTGTGTCTCCAGGTTCAGTGTAAAGTGTGTGGGTGCTTTCAAATGTGTCAAAAGCCTGGGCCTAACTAATAAAATCACCCAAACCAAATTAACCTTCTCAGTGGCCTAGTGGTAGTGTCCGCCCTAGGACTGGGAGTACGGGGTTCAAATCCTGGTTGGGTCACACCAAAGACCTTAACAATGGGACCTAATGCCTTCCTTCTTGACGCTCAGCTTTAAGGGGTTGGATTGGGGGGTTAGACTACCAAATAGTTTCCGAGCGAGGTTACAGCTACAGCTCACTGCTCCCCACGGGTATAGATGTAGTTTTTTTTTGGGGGGGGGGGGGGCGCTTTCCAAAGTCAATTTTTGTCCTCTGCACCTTTTACCATCCAAGAACAAAATTACGCTATATTAAATAGACACTGGTTGAGCACTAGGACCAAGTGGAAAACAACGCTTGTGTTGAAGCCTGTTTCCCATTAGAACCATCCATAAGCTCATTTATTGGCTCGAAATGAGCTCTGTTGAAAAGATATTAAAAAATAAGTGTACAATTGTGACAATGAGTAGGAATTAAAATTAATAACAAGGTGAAAAACAAAGATGAATTGAAAGTATTAGATTTTTTTACTGCCACCTGTGTACTTGACAGTTCTGCATTCTTGACTTTGCATAAAAGAGGTTCTTATTCAGATTCTTTGTATACATACTGTAAAGACCCCCATCCCCCCGGTCCTCATGCTGGTTGAGCCCCCCCCCCCCCCCCCCCCCCCCCCCCGCTTCTAAAGTCAAAACTACGTCCATGCCCACGGTGGTGGGTCAAATGCAGGTTCGATCCCAGCTCCAACCAGAGAATGTTGATGTTGTGTCCTTGGGCAAGACATGTAACCCACCATTCGTGCTGGTGGTGGTCGGAGAGACCAGTTGCGCCAGTGTTCAGCAGGCCTTGCCTCTGTCAGTGCGCCCCAGGGCAGCTGTGGCTACATCATAGCTCATCCCCACCCGTATGTGAATGTGTGTGTGTGAATGGGTGAATGACTAATTGTGTTGTGAAGTGCCTTGGGGGGTTGTATAAAACCTAAGAAGGTGCTTATACATATACGGGCCATTTACAGTAATGCTGAAACCAGCTTTATGTTTGTTTCTTTTAGTTGATCCAGTATGGTGGGCTGGGTGGGGATGAGGGCAGCGCTGGACTGACCATAGGGCATAGCGGGCAACTGCCCGCTGGGCCGACCCTTTCATCTTTTATGGGCCGGTGTCTGTTTTTTTTTTTTTTTTTTTTCCTGGCCTCTAGTTGTTGCGGACAACTTGTCCGCGCCGCCCCACGCGACGCCTCGTAAAAGTTGGTGGATTGGCCAATTGGTCATAATACGCTCTGGGCTGGACCAATAGCCAGAGGTCTGATGCACCCGCCAGTTGTTTGTGAATCTCAGTAAACAGACAGACGAGCTTTACAAAATGGAGAACAAAAAACGGAAAGGAGGAGCGGACAAAATTCGACTAAAAAAGAAACTGGCCCTTCAGGCTGATGCTGGCACATGTGTTAAAATCTCACAGTTGTTTGGTAGTGAAGGTTCAAGTAAAATCAATTTAGGAAGTGATGGAGCCTCAGCCCAGCGACAGGTTGGAGAAGAAAAGAGGGAGGAGGAGGAGAAACCCGAGCCGGTGTTGTGCCATAAATTGACTCGCTGCCAAAAAATGATTAGCCACCGCGGGATCGCGCACGGTTAGGTAATTGCATTTCTAGACAAAATTCCCCAGGATTTCGCCCTAAAACTCAGCATATCTAGCAATATGGACATTCAGAAAGCAAAGATAACCTCTTCCGGTACTTAAACAGATGTTTATCGCGGATATTAGTGTGGTAGTGTTTGTGGCACCCTGCGCGGGAGCACGAGGACGTGCTTGTGGAAAGAGGGAGGAAGATGTGGCTGTGTGAGCGTCCACAATGTCCCGATTTATGATGCGCCCTGGCTACTGGGCTAAGGAGATGCCCCTTTGGCTGACTGGTTAGAGCGTATGACTCTCACCTGGGAGTCTGGGGATCGAATCCCGCCCGAGCACTCCTTTCTGCACCTGCCACATAAGTTTTTCCAGTTCGGAAGTTGTTTTAAGTGTTGCTATTTGTCTTAAACGTTCACAATGAGGATATATTAATCCTTTTTGCAACATTTGCGATTGAAAGATGATTTGTGCCACAAACTTTGTGGTAAGAACTGGCTTTCTTTATGTTACAGCCTTGATACTAAAAAAATAAATAAACAATGTAAAATGGCACCCTGTATTGAATGTAAACGTTGTATAAATGGAAATAAACAATTCTCCAGCGATTTAATTTTTTCCCCTTCCTTTCTTTAGTCCACTTGACATGGAGCCACAGTTAACTAGTTTGGGGCACATTTTTACTTGAAAAAAAGTATTTAACCCTTTGGTGCATAATGATCACTACAGTGGACAGGTACTCAAAATTGTTATTTATTTGTTTTTGCTATTAAGCACAGCTGTTGAAGACTTTATTGCATTTGAGCCCCTCCATTTTGACTTCAGTAAGTCAAGCCAACATATTTCATGCTCAGAATGCACGCTGTCCACTGAGGTGGACATGTAATAAATGATTTGTAAATTATCACATTTAACAAAAAATATTGGTTGAAATTTGTTTCATACACACCTAAAGACAAATGAAAAAAAATGTTAAAAAAATCATGGTTGAAGATTTCATAATTCATGCATCAAAGGGTTAAAATGATCAAGCTTTGGCTTTAATGACACTGTGTAGGTTACTATCTATACATTACGTTGCTCTATTTAAAAGTAACAAGATAAAAGCACTTCAGCACATAAAATTAAGATTGTCACTTGCCAAATAGACTACACCCTCCCGTTTACCTATAAGAAATGCCTCAAAATATCTTTAAATTCTTTATTGATGATTTAATTGTAGACAACTAAAATGGCATTTTATTTGCCAAAAAGTGATTGAATTGCTAAGATTTTCATGGAGGCTAAAATTGACCAAATAAGGGTTTATGTATTATCTGTTGATGTTACTGTACTCATACTGTCTACTGTGTCATCAAAAACACCCCAAAAATGGCAAAAAAAAGAAAAAAAAAAAGGAAGATAATTTCCCTTGCCAAAAATTGATTACAGTGTCCTGGTCACCTGTAAAGGGTTAAATTGACCTAAATATTACCTTATTTATTATCTCTTGATGTTATTAGTGCCATCACAGGATGCTGGGTGTCTTCCACATTCATAAACACCTCAAAAATGGCAACAAATGATAATTTCCCTTGCCAAAAATGTATCACAGAGTCCTGGTCACGTGTAAAGGCTTAAATTTGCATAAACATTACTTCATTTATTATGATGCTGGGTGTGTTCCACAATCATATTCGAATAAACATGAAAATATTCCGTCCGAATATCTGTTTCTTGTTATAAATATAACAGCTAGAAGGATTTACAGTTAAAATAGGAGAAACACGTGACTCCCCAGGAAGGGTCGTAACACCACTTGCCTCATGCACATAAGTGAACAAAACAAAGCAGCATGGAGACACTCCGTCTCCAACCACCTCTCAGGCAGCAGCCTGCACTCCCAAGTTCTACACGTCACCAGAACATAACCAACCGCAACACAATAAAAGCAGTGTTATACAAAATGGAAGGCCTGAAGTGTTTATTCTCTTACAGTAACAACTTATCAATTTTTTGGAGGAATTTATTTGAGAATTTTTTGGTTTTTAGTAATTGTGCAATAGAAAAGTAATCGCTAGATTAATCATCTAAATAGTCATTAGAATAGTCGACTATTCGATAAAATAATCATCAGAATAATCATTTTAAAAATAATCAGTTACCCCCAACCCTACTTTTTAGAATACCAGGATAGGAAGGATGGTGTAGGTTTACGTTTATTAGATTGATACATAAGTCAGAAACAGCATAAGGCTTAATGTCTTTTCCAAAAAAAAACAGGTGATGGGCCGGTCTCCAGTCAAAATGCCCGGGCTGAATTTTTGTCCCAGTCCAGCCCTGGATGAGGGGTTTTGTTTTGTGTAACTTGTCCTGTTTGAAACCATTATAAAAATGTAATAAACATATCTTGTTCAAAAAAAGAAAATCACTAGGAATCAAAGAGGCAAATTAAACGTACCACCAGGTCAACATCTTCCACGAGGCTTCCATCATCAAATTCCACACAGGAGCCTTGAAATTGACGAACATTTGGTTTCACTTGAACAGTTCCAGATAAGATGCGGTTTGGAAGTTCATCGTTCACAGTGGGATGTTGGCTGAATAACCTGAGACCAAACAGACATACATAATACACACTGTAAATACGGAGTATAACTGAGAGTTATACAACTTTAGTAAAACGATAACTAATTATTATTTTTAATGACAAAATTTACAATACTAATGGCAATTTTTAACATGTTCTTTAGTAAAGATGCAGAAAGAACTTTTTTAGACAATGTTTAAATAGAGATGCTTCAGGTTTAGTTCATGTAGCACAGATAGGTCAGACGTAAATCTACAAAAACATTCACTCCACTAAAAAGCTAACAATGTATCTCAGATATTCATAAATTAATGTTTAACTCTTCACACAAAAACATATGCAACAACACCAACAACAGCTTGGGTTGATGATTTACTTTGTAGTTGACTTATTTGGACTGCTCTGAAGGATCAGATAAAGAAAGACAGAAAGATGGTAAATGATCCCCACCTGGTTGTTAATAAACAGAGAGGATGGGAAACTGTGAATTTTGATGTCAACTAGGGCTATAGTTGAGGGCAATGGGTGAGTGGCATGAGGAACCAGGGATGGATGAATTTGACGAAATTGTCCAGGTGTTCAAACATTTACACCAGGGGTGTCCAATGGTCTTTGAGAGCTACTATCCAGCATGTCTTAGATGATTTCCTGCTCCACCATACCTGATGAAACTGTTAAATAAGCGATCTAGAAGGTCATCAAGCTCCGCAGAAGCCTTTTAATCACCCACTGATTAAAATCATCATCAACTTTATTTCTATAGCTCTTTCAGTCAAATAGGAGATTAACCAAAGTGTATGCTCAACAAGAAACAACGCTGCAAAGGCCAACAAAGATATACATAAAAACAAATAAAAGCAAGAGCTATAGATAAGACAACAGAATATAAACAGGATAATATAGGATACAGGATAAATCAGGCCTGTTGGAGCAGGAAAACCTCCAAAACGTTGAGGTTGCTCTGCTAAAGTATAGAGCTCTCGAGGACCAGGATTGGACACCTCGATCTACATGGTGGTAGCTGAAATTTCGGCTGACAGGCCTCTGCAACATTGTATGGCCATCAGGCCAGAGTCTAACCCTAACCCCCAAATATAAATTTGGCTTGCAGCTTGGAAAAGCATGTCACTTGGAATAGACTAGCCTGGAATTTATTAAAAAATAAACCAAAGTCAACTGTGGCAAGATTTAAACCTCTGAAGAAGATGACACATTTATCAATTAAAACATTTCAAGGTTTGTAGATTATATTATATTATAAAGTGCTGATAGCAATAAAAACTGAGGACTTTGGCTTTAGGCTGTACAGAGCATGGTTGAATCTGCGGTTGAGCTGGCTCTCTCCAAGGGAACAGACGACACCATATGGTAGGATATTACGGAAAAAATAAGTAACTCTGTTTAAATACAAATCTAGGGGAATCCCTCTTTCCCCGACTCTGTTCACGATCCAGGCTCCCCTTCGAGTGCTCAGGTAAAGCTTTGGAAAAAAGACAAAGCTGTCAGCTATTTCATAGATACAGGTAATGGTAACACTTTACAATAAGGGACACAAAATTGTGATTTGTTACCAGGGAATGACTTAGCAGGTAATGGATAATGAACCAAGGACTAATACTGGTAAAAACATCCACCAGTCTTGTACAGGGACTAATGGGTTGTGAAGGAACTGGAGAGAAACAAATCACTACTTACTCAATACTTATCAATCATCTACAACATTTGTGTCCCATAAAGCAGCTGTTCCCAAACTTATTTAGTCACACAACCCCTTCTATATTTCAACCGTTTTGACGCACCATCCCACACCCCACACCTTTCCAAAGTCAGAGACTCTCTTGGCCAACTTGCTTCTCACACAAAACCTTCCATCAGGAATCTTGGCGTGACCTTTGACCCAGCTCTCACCCTGGATTCTCATGTCAGTTCTCTTGTTCGCTCTTCCTTCTTCCATCTCAGGAACGTTGCTAAGCTGAGTCCCATTCTGTCCCGCTCTGAGCTTGAGACAGTTCTCCACACCTTCATCTCCTCATGCTTTTAAGGTTGGTTTATGCTTGACGTGTCCGCGAGGTCCGCACGGCTCCGCGCGGAAAAGTTGCGTCATTTTGCGTCATTTTAACAACCACGCCCCTCCACCGCGCCTCCGCACGGCCCAGAATTTCCGCAACGCGCACCTCGGAAAATTTCTAACCACGCGGACGGACGGACGCGGAAAAACATGGCGGACCGGCAAGAACTAGTACGGCAGAGGTTCGTAAATACAGACATTTGTATGATTCGGCTCTCAAAGATCACCGTGATCAACATGTTGTTAATAATTCTTGGAGAGAAATAGCTCGCACTGTCGGAAAAGACGAGAACGCTGTTAAAAATGCTGAAATGTCGTGTTGTAACAGTAATTTCTACTTCTACTATGGTGTAGTGTTGGATGCTTGCCGTAAAGCTCCATGCTGCCCCCTACAGTTTGGGAGAATATTGTCTCACCGCAGAGATGAGCCGCACGAACCATAAACACTGCGAGTTGTGAAGCGCGTTCCATCCGCGAGCCGCATCACCGCGCGGAAAGTGAATGCGTCAAGCATAAACCAAGCTTTATTAGACTACTGTAACTCTCTTTTCATGTGTCTGAGCAGAACCTCCCTGAACCGTCTACAGGTGGTTCAGAATGCCTGTGCTCGGCTTCTGACCAAGTCCTCCAAACACACCCACATCACCCCGCTTCTCCTCCAGCTTCACTGGCTGCCAGTCAACTTCAGGGTTCATTTCAAGATCCTGGTTCTGGTCTATAGGGCCTTACATGGACAAGCACCATCTTACATTGGTGATCTTCTTAGTCCCTACACCCCCAGCAGGTCCCTGAGGTCCAGTGACCAAAGCCTACTGGTTGTGCAGCGCACCAGGCTAAAGACCAAAGGTGACAGATCATTTGCTGCTGTGGCCCCCAGACTCTGGAACTCTCTCCCCCTGAGCCTGAGATCAGTGGACTCAGTGGTCTCCTTTAAAAAGCAGCTGAAGTCTCACTTGTTCAAGCTGGCTTTTGTATGACCTTCTTCACCACTCTCTATTTATTCTCCTCTCCCCACCTATTCCACCTTCCTCAGGATCCACTGATTTCCCTCTTTCCTGTTTACTCTCTCTCTTTCTTAACACTTTTTAAAATCACAATTGTCTATTTTTTGCTCATTTTAAATATATTTTAACCATTTTCTAAATTCTTTGTTATATGTTTACATTTTTCGTTTTTGTGATGTGCCTCGTGATTTCTATCTTGAGAGGCGCTATAGAAATGATATTTTCTTCTTCTTCTAAAAAAAATGCCACAAGCAAGGAGACGAGTGATGCTCACAGAATGCAAATACTAGAGGAAATACTTAAAATGTCAACAGGTCTGTTCGTTGTTGACAAAATTCTTTGACTGGTAATGGCTGACTCTGAATCTGATGAAGATATTCACTTGCAAGAAAGACAGTGACACTGCAGCTGCGTGCAGCAACAGAGTCTGTGCGCTTCATGGGAGTAAGCACGCTGCACAAGCATGATGTGAAGCTTTTTTCACATTGTTCGGGACATGGTGGATGTAGAAACGATGGTAAAAAATATTACAAATGGTGACTTAGTGGGAATGTAAAAAAGAAAGTAAATAGGGGCAGACGTGGTAGATGCGAAACAAAAAGTAAAAGTGCGTCATAATCAACATAAATATTCCACGCATTCCAACCACCTGGTCCACATAAGGAACTTTCCTTGGATGAAATAATTGTTACATACAAGGTAAGGTTGACCCTGAAGCAGAATAAGCCCAAAAACCTGACAAATATGGCTCTAAAGCATTTTGTAATTGTATAATTTTTACCATTACATTTTCCACCTAGCGCATTCCCTAGCAGCAGCTAGTGCACCCCCAGGGGTGCGCGCACCACACTTCGGGAATCCTTGCCCTAAAGTAATGTGATAAATATTAAGCATATTCAACACAAAAATAATTCAGAAACATAAGGGAAGTAATAAATGATCTCAGTCTAACCTGTTTGGTGACTCTGCTCAGTTCAACTGCGATGTCTCCTCCTGAGTTGCCTATTCCGATTACCACCGCCTTCTTATTCCTCCACTCTTCAGGAGTTTTGTAGTCTCTGCTGTGAAAATACTTCCCCTTGAAAGTTTCAATACCTGAGGAAAAGAAGAGAAAAGGGATTTGTTTTCACATGGACTCCTTGCATCAGACTGAAACTGAAATAGATATTTACGATTTTATATAAAACACACAAATCAAACCTCAGGTTTCCAGTATTCTATCAACACTGTGGTTGTTGGGGATTATTGTTGATACAGTGATGCTGTGTGAAAATGACAATCCCCCTCAAACAGTGCTTTGTGAACATGGAGGAGATAAGGGTCTATACAGAACCTTACCTGGGAAGTCATGGAGAGGGAGGTTTGGCTGGCAGTGATGTCCAATACAGATCATCACTGCATCAAAAATGTGTTTCTCCTGTTTCCCATCCTTGTTCTCAGTTTCAACGTCCCACTGGCCTGATCGGGAGAAATCTGATCTCTGTTTGATCTGCAAGACTTTTGTCTGAGCACATAAAGACAGAAACAGCTGGCTTATATCAGAAAAGTGTTTATTTAACCAACTGAGAGTTAGTCTTTCTACTTCATGTATGAGAATTTTGACCCATATGTCGTCCACATATGTGGCTGTCTTCTGGCTGACTACCCAAAAGGACTCAATTTTGCCATTTCCCCACAACACATCCCAACAGTACATTACATCACTGCCATATAATCTGCCATAAAAAACAACAATCTCAGGGAAACAGAAGCTAAAGAACGAAGAATCAAGGTTACAGCATCTCTTTCTAATGCAAAGAGTACTCCTGCTAACCTGTCTCCACAAGAAAGAAAATCAGTCTCCTCCATCAGCAAAGACCAGAACATCAAATTTTTACCTGCAGACAAGGTATGGTTATTCTGAATACAAAAGATTACCACAACAAAGTCATTGCACTTGTGAATGACAGTGACACATATGAAGCACTGAAGAGGGACCCAACAAGTGGATGCAAGGGGAAAATCACGGACCATACAGAAACTACTAAAGGACAAAGTAACCGACCGCTCATTCCTTCAGAATCTATCCAGGAGAAGCCACCCGATGTATATATGGTCTTCCAAAGATTAACAAGGAAGGAACGCCACTCAGTCCCCTCATTAGCAGCATCAACTCATTTACCCACAACACTGTGAAACATCTCTCCGCCATCCTGGCCCCACTGGTGAGACAGACCCAACATCACCTACAGAATTTGATGGATTTTGCAAGAAAGTTCAATATCTCGAACTGGCCTCAGGGGAAACCATTGTCTCATTGAATGTTACTTCACTCTTCACATGTATACCCACATGAAGCAGTCGCAGTTAGGAAACGGCTGGAAAAAGATGATTCCTTAACCCTCCCACTGTCCTAATGGGTGTGATCCTGTGAGAAAAGTTGGCCATTGAGCAGGGCTGATGGTTTAACCCTTGAGGTCCATGTGGCTGGGGTGAGGAGTGAGCACCACCTCACCCCTGCCACGTGGACCTCAAGGGTTAAACCATCAGCCCTGCTCAATGGCCAACTTTCCTTGTGGGGTCACCCACAAAGATAGTGGGAGGGTTAAACAAGAGGACAAAACTGACTCCAGACCAGATCTGTACCTTGCTGGATCTCTGCCTTTCTACCACCTATTTCAAACAAGTTTTACAGGCAGAAACATGGATGATCCATGGGCTCCCCAGTGTCACCTATTGTCGCCAACATTTACACGGAGGAAATGGAAACCAGAGCATTGAACTCCTACACTGGAAACACACAAAGCCACTGGTTCAGGTATTCTCACGAAGGAAGTAGAAGACTTTACCAAGCACATTAATGCCGTGGACAAGAACATCAAGTTCACCAGAGAGGATGCACACAACCGGGGATGGAGCCGGAGCTTGTGGCAGAGGTTGAGCGGTACCGGCTAGATATAGTCGGACTCACCTCGACACATTGCATTGGCTCTGGAACCCGAGACCTGGAGAGGGGTTGGACACTCTACTTTGCTGGAGTTGCTCCGGGTGAGAGGCGGAGGGCTGGGGTTGGCTTTTTGTTAGCCCCGAGACTCTCTGCCTGTGTGTTGGGGTTTACCCCGGGGGACAAGAGGGTAGCTTCCTTGCGCCTTCGGGTCGGGGAACAGGTCCTGACTGTTGTTTGTGCTTATGGGCCAAATATCAGTTCAGAGTACCCACCCTTTTTGGAGTCCCTGGGACGAGTGCTAGATAGTGCTCCATCAGGGGACTCCATTGTCCTGCTGGGGGACTTCAATGCTCACGTGGGCAATGACAGCTTGACCTGGAGGGGTGTGATTGGGAGGAACGGCCCACCTAATCTGAACTCGAGCGGTGTTGTGTTATTGGACTTCTGTGCAAGCCGCAGTTTGGCCATAACGAACACCATGTTCGAACATAAGGATGCCCACCGGTACACTTGGTACCAGGGCAGCCTAGGTCACAGGTCGATGATAGATTTTGTAGTCGTATCATCTGACCTGCGGCCGTATGTTTTGGACACCCGAGTGAAGAGAGGGGCGGAGCTGTCAACTGATCACCACCTGGTGGTGAGTTGGATCAGATGGCAAGGGAACATGCCGCGTAGACCTGGCAGACCCAAACGCATAGTGAGGGTCTGCTGGGAACGCCTGGCAGAAGAACCTGTCAAGACGGTCTTCAACTCCCACCTCCGGCAGAGCTTTGACCACGTCCCGAGAGCAGTGGGGGACATTGAGTCCGAGTGGGCCTTGTTCCACTCTGCGATTGTCGAGGCGGCTGTTGCTAGCTGTGGTCGTAAGGTGGCCGGTGCCAGTCGTGGTGGCAACCCCCGTACCCGCTGGTGGACACCAGAGGTTCGGGGAGCTGTCAGGCTGAAGAAGGAGGCCTACAGGGCGTGGCTGGTCTGTGGGTCTCCGGAGGCAGCAGACAGGTACCGGATAGCCAAGCGGGGTGCAGCAGTGGCAGTTGCCGAGGCAAAATCTCGGGCGTGGGAGGAGTTTGGTGAGGCCATGGAGAAAGACTATCGATCGGCTCCAAAGAGGTTCTGGCAAACTGTCCGGCGCCTCAGGAGAGGAAGGCAGCAACTCGCTCACACTGTTTACAGTGGGGAGGGGGAGCTGCTGACGTCAACTGAGGCTATAGTCGGACGGTGGAAGGAATACTTTGAGGAGCTCCTCAATCCCACCAATGCGCATTCCGAGGAGGAACCAGAGCTGGGAGGCCTGGAGATGGACTGTCCGATCTCGGGGGCAGAAGTTGCTGAGGTAGTCAAACAACTACACAGCGGCGGAGCCCCGGGGGCGGATGAGGTTCGTCCTGGGTATCTCAAGGCTATGGATGTTGTAGGGCTGTCATGGTTGACACGTCTCTACAACATTGCGTGGTCATCGGGGGCAGTTCCTAGGGAGTGGCAGACCGGGGTGGTGGTCCCCATCCTTAAGAAGGGTGACCTGAGGGTGTGTTCCAACTATAGGGGGATCACACTCCTCAGCCTCCCTGGAAAGGTCTACGCCAAGGTACTGGAGAGGAGGGTCCGATCGATAGTTGAATCTCAGATAGAGGAGGAGCAATGTGGTTTTCGTCCTGGTCGTGGAACTGTGGACCAGCTCTATACCCTTGCAAGGGTGATGGAGGGGGCATGGGAGTTTGCCCAACCAATCCACATGTGCTTTGTGGATTTGGAGAAGGCTTATGACCGTGTCCCCAGGGGCACCCTGTGGGGGACGCTCCAGGAGTATGGGGTGGGTGGCTTTCTGTTAAGGGCCATTCAGTCCCTTTACCAGAGGAGCGTGAGTTTGGTCCGCATAGCCGGTAGTAAGTCGGACCTGTTCCCAGTGAGGGTTGGACTCCGCCAGGGCTGCCCTTTGTCACCGGTTCTGTTCATCACTTTTATGGACAGAATTTCTAGACGCAGCCGTGGTGTGGAGTGTGTCGAGTTTGGTGGCAGGAGAATCTCGTCTCTGCTTTTTGCGGATGATGTGGTCCTCCTAGCTTCATCCAGCTCTGACCTTCAGTTCTTGCTGGGTAGGTTCGCGGCCGAATGTGAAGCAGCTGGGATGAGGATCAGCACCTCCAAATCTGAGACCATGGTTCTCGACCGGAAAAGGGTGGCTTGCCACCTCCGGGTCGGGGGAGAGGTCCTACCTCAAGTGGAGGAGTTTAAGTATCTCGGGGTCTTGTTCACGAGTGAGGGTAGGAGGGATCGGGAGATCGACAGGCGGATTGGTTCGGCGTCTGCAGTGATGCGGACGCTGAGCCGATCTGTCGTGGGGAAGAGGGAGCTGAGCCAGAAAGCCAGGCTCTCGATTTACCGGTCGATCTACGTCCCAATCCTCACCTATGGTCATGAGCTTTGGGTAATTACCGAAAGAACGAGATCGCGGATACAAGCGGCCGAAATGAGTTGCCTCCGTAGGGTGGCCGGGCTCAGCCTTAGAGATAGGGTGAGGAGCTCGGACATTCGGGAGGGACTCGGAGTAGAACCGCTGCTCCTCCGGATCGAAAGGAGCCAGTTGAGGTGGTTTGGGCATCTGGTCAGGATGCCTCCTGGACGCCTCCCCGGGGAGGTGTTTCGGGCATGTCCTGCCAGCAGAAGGCCCCCCGGGTCGACCCAGGACACGTTGGAGAGGTTACATCTCCAATCTGGTCCAGGAACGCCTTGGGGTCCTGCCGGAGGAGCTGGTGGACAAGGCCGGGGAGAGGACGGCCTGGAGCTCCCTAATTGGGATGCTGCCCCCGCGACCCGGACCCGGATAAGCGGAGGAAGACGAAGACGAAGGATGCACACAACAACAAATGCCCTTCTTGGACTGCTGTGCAAATTGAACAAGATGGAAGTCTCAGCATTGAAGTCTACGGGTAACCAACTCACACAGACCAGTATTTACATTTCGACTCACATCACCCACTGGAGCACAAAATGTCAGTCATCAGGACTTTACACCATCGGGCCGAGAACATTCCCACAAAGACTGAAGGAAGGCAAAAGAAAGAAAAACACATCAAGAAAGCTCTCCAAAGCTGCAGATACCCTAACTGGGCCTTTGTGAAATCTACAAATAAGTCTGGAAAAGCATCCACAGCAGCAACCAGCAAAGAAAAGGACAACAGGAGCACAGGCGCATACGTGGCAGGAGTCTCAGATAAACTTAGAAGAATCTTTTTTTTGGGGGGGGCTTATGATGATGATGACCCGCACTTGTATAGCGCCTCTCAGAGTAAGGACTCCAAAGCGCTTTACACTACAGTGTATAATTCATCCATTCACGCACACATTCATACACTGGTGGGGATGAGAGGCGAGGCTGCCGAGCACAGGTGTCACCGGACCCTCCGACCACCACCAGCAGGCAAGGTGGGTTAAGTGTCTTGCCCAAGGACACAACAGCAGAATTCTCTGTCCGGAGCCGGGATTGAACCTGCAACCTTCTGATTACTGGACAACCCACTCAACCTGTTGAGCTACTGCATGTTTCACCTTTCCAACACCTATGCATCTCTGAATCTAATTCCCATACAGTTTCAGTCTAGGTCACACTTTCTTGCATCTAATCAATGGAACAATTCCCTCACAATACAGGCTAATGACCCCAACGACTCACCGGGAGGTTGGGAAGAGGGGTATGCACAGGTAGTTTCTCCTTGCTAAATAACAGTAGACAGCAACATTTTATAAACTTGACCCTCCCCATTCCAGAAGTCTAGTTGCCTTCATTCGAACCCCTTTGGATTACCATGATCTGGATGACTGAGAACCTTCACTGGCAAACTGAGAGTGAAGGGTTCTCTGTGTCCAAAAACAGCAAATAAAGTTCTTTCTCACATTAAAGCGTATGTGCTTGGTGAGCTGGAAGTGGTCAGCATACATCCGAAAGTAGTCCATGATGAGGGAGTTGTGCATGAAGTTTGGGAATTCTGCAGGAATGGGGAAGTCACTGAAACACATCCTCTCCTTGGACGTGTTGATGATGACTGAGTGGTAGATGCTGGCCCGGTCTGGTTCTGGATTCTCCTGCAAATGACACAACCAGAGGCTCAGAGGAAGCAGAACTTCATCTCCTCCTCCAGCATGCACCATCATCACCCACCTTAAACCTCCAGAGACCTCCAATGTCATTGCTGCTTTCATAGCAGATGGGCTCCAGCCCTTCATCCAGGCAGCATTTAATACAGGCCAGACCTGAACTCCCTCCTCCTACTATGGCCACACGACGAGTCATGCTGCAGCTATGGGGAACAAGTCAGTTCAAAAGGGGTTGAGCTGCCAGCAAAGATCAGGCATCCATGTAACAAGGGAAAACCGTCATTAAAAAAAATCAGATAACCAGATGGCCTTCTTGACAAACATAAAAAACTCAATAATAAAACAATGCAATGCACACAATGCTTTTAGTCAACTTTCAACAACCTGAAAACAATGTTCCTTATGTTTAAATGTACACAAAATAAAACATTTTTAAGTATCTTACTTTTTCAGTCTAGAGAAGAACACTTCTTCTGATGCCTGATTCTGTTTAGCAGGTGGAGTGTGACTGAACACTGACCCTGGATTTTATTTCTGCAGAGAGGGCAAAGTCAACAAGACTTCTGGCATGCAACACGCTACATTTAACAATCATTTGCTAATGCAGACCACACCTATTAGAAGTGGAGTTTTGAGGAACCTTTCTGGTTACACTGGACAAGTCCAGCACTCTCCAGGTCAGGGGTGCCAAACCCTGATCATTGAGAGCTCCTATCCAGCATGTCTTAGTTGTTTCCCAGTTCCAGCATGCCCTATTCAATGATTATATGACCCATTTAGCAAGTCATCAAGTTCTGCAGAATCATGTTAACCTCCCAATTATTGGAATCAGGTACACCTAAGGAGAGAAACATGTAAAATTAGCTGGATAGGGACTGTCAAGTACCAGGGTTGGACACCGCTGCTTTTAGGTATTACTGAAAATGACTAAGCACTTACAGACATGCAATTCTGATTCTTCATGAAACACGAAAGACAAATTTATAATTTAATATAATATGTGCCTGCCTGCCTGCCTGACTGACCACGGAACCTGCCTATCTCCTTAGTGCCTGTCTGAACCGGAGTTATCATCTTTATTGGCAGCCCTCACCGCAGAATGCTGTTGCTGTTTTCAGGAGGTCAGTCACTCTCCGTAATTTATCTGATCATCTCCCTCGCTGACTGTTTTCTGTCTCCCAGGCCGGAACCGACTCCAGCGGGTCCCAATCGCTATATCAAGTCCTTAAACATTTTAAACGTTCTCTGTGTGGCTGTTGTTGGATCCGGCTGGTCGATGCTAGGTCTGACCATGACAAAGAATAAAATTTACAACCTAATTTGAAAATCCGCAAAATTCTTTTGACAGATTTAAAAAATATAAACATTTTTGAATGCAAAACTGCTATACAAAATCTGAAAATATCATTCCTGATCTTAAAATGCACATAAAAATAAAATGAACGGTCTTACTTTATCGGTCCAGAGAAGAACAGCTTCTTCGAGGCCTGGTTTTGATGAGCAGTTTGAGTGTGACTGAACATTGACCCTGAATTTGTTCTGGCAGAAAAGTCAACAGGGCTTCTGACATCCAAAACATTACATATAACAATTATTTGCTATTGCAGACCACACCCATTAGAGGAGTTCAGGGAACCTCTCTGGTTTAAAAAGCCCAGCAGCACCGTCCAGGTCAGGGTTGCCAAACCATGGTTGTTGTGAGCCCTATTTTTACTCCATTCCACCATGTCCTTTTCAATGATTAAATGATCCATTCAGCAAGTGATCGAGCTCTGCAGAATCATGATATTCACCCAGTTTTTGAAATCAGGAGCGCCAAAACAGAGAAAAGGGTAACATTTTGGCTTTAAGGCTTTTATTTTTGTTATTTTAAGGTCTTACTATATATATATATATTTTTTAATGTGATCTTAAATTTTATGGTATTTTTTTCTTTTTACCTTTTATGTTAAACCATTTTGTCACCTTCCAGGGGTGTGGAAATTGCTCTACATATAAATAAACTTGATTTTCTGGATACAGGCCCTCAAGGACCAGGTTTGGACATCCTTGATATTAGGTATTACTAAGCACTTAAGACATGCATTTTGATACTTCATGAAGCTAGAAAGAAAAATGTGTAAGTTAATATAATCTGTGCAACAGTGATATGAGACATCTATAGAAGTGCTCAAAAGGAAGCAAGTAAACCCAAAATAATAAAGGCCCCAAACTAAACCCTGAGGCACACCACCACAATGATGGCCAGAGGATCTCCTCGAACTTTTAGTAGCCACAGAACGATCATAAAGGCAGGAAGAAAATGCAAACTAAATACAATGCATCATTACAAACAAGGATGTTCAATCTGCTGTTTGGTCAGAGAGTGGGACTACCAGTAACCAGTTTCTTTGTTCTGATTCTAAAACTACTTAAGGTGTTTTGCAGAAAACCATTAGTTTGTAGTACATAAATTACAGAATTTCTCTAACTTAATCCCAGTTGACATTGTATATAATCTAATAAACCAATAAAAAATCCTCGTATGTATACTGGTTTTTATTGTTTGTGGAGAATAAAAAAAAGATTTTCTGCATAAATTACTTTTTTAACAATTATAAAAATGCTCAGAATGAAAGCAGTTTCATGCTACTCTTCATTTACATAGGCAAAAACACAGTAAGACATACAAATACAGTATTTATTGGGTTTATTGAAAAGGTTTGACTATTTCAATGACAAATTACTAAAAAAAATGCTAGTTTTCTATACACTTCATATATTTTTATCCTATAAACTGGTATGTGATGGTTGACAATGTTGATGCTGTGTTTAAGAAGCCTACAAAGCAAAAGAAATGCATTTAAGCAAAAACTGTTGTTTATTTCCAACCCTTAAATTTAGCCATCTCACAGCTATAGAGAATTACCACAGAAGTGCTAAACTGAAGTACTGAGCTGAATAACACTCTTGTGTAGTATAAGATTGGGTTTAGTAAACAAAGTTATTGAAGTATTTTGGATATTTCTGTAGATAAGAACAAAGTTTCCCTTCATGAACATTAGCTAATACTGTAAATACAGCAGAATCATTCACTAGTGAAATTTGCATTACTATGCAGTGAGGTATGCTCTAATGTTGTCCAGCAAAGCGGTGGGATCCTGCAGGAAAGCCGGAAAGTTGTTCCTGTGGTGGTAGGCCCACACGCCCACAGCTGCGGTGAACATGATCAGAGGCCACTTGGAAGCTTTCTTGGGTTTGGGCTCATCAGACAGCCTGGTCTGCAAGGGTTTAGCTACTCTCTCCCACTGGGTGAAGATGGCCTGGCGTGCTCCGACCCACTTTCCTGGTCCTCTGAGGCGGTACTGGTATGGGGTGCTAGGACCCAGCAGCACTTTCAGTCCCAGCTGAGGGTCGGTCAGCAGCATCCTCATGATTCTGGGACGAACTCCCACTAACTCTGCAATCTGGTCCATGTAGTCAACATAGTCCACTTGGATGGTATGTCTCGGACTGGCGACGTATCTAATAGTGGGATTAAAGTTAAAAACATGTAGACAATTATCTGGTTACAAATGAAACTTGTATAGCAGGTAACCATAAAGGTGATTCATGGTGTACCTTTTAGCCATGGCTTCCTGCTTACACTTGATATCTCTGAGCATAGCAGCTGCTGGAGGAAGCTTTATGCAGCCTGGTGAAAAAAGACCCGCATTTGTTTAATTAGTAAACAATGAATTAGTCTATGAACGAAAAAGAAAGCCTTACCTTTGAAGACTCGAGTGGCCCATCTAGCCTGCATCTCAGAAATGGGCATGATGGCGCCCAATGGCTGCACCAGACCAATGATAGCCAGCGTGGGGTGGTCCAGTTCAGGAGGAAACACGTACTTGTACAGAGATGCTTTGTTCTCTGTCACTGAAACCACTCTAGAATCCAGGAATGGGTAGGAGAACTTGTAGCCTGTTGCAAACACCTACAGGATAAAAATAAGTTCACGTCAGTTGTCAAGCCACCTAATTACTGTGTCAATGTCTAAAAGAACAAGACACGCAGAACATCATTAAGAATCAAAGAGGAAAATTAAACGTACCACCAGGTCAATATCTTCTACGATGCTTCCATCCTCAAACTCCACGCTGGAGCCCTGAAATTGGCGGATGTTTGGTTTCACTTGAACAGTTCCAGATAGGATGCGGTTTGGAAGTTCATCATTTATGGTGGGATGTTGGCTGAATAACCTGAGAAACATAAAAGACATAATACACAAAGTAGAAGAGTTGTACAACTGTAGAAAATTATGAGATACCAGTTTTATTAATTTAGTACAAAATGAAGAGTTCATTATACAAAAGCAGGTAAAAACCATTTTGATTAAAATGTCCAAACTTTATTTAGACTGATCTCTGGTGCAAATGACAACATTATGCACTTTAAAACATGTCTGCATTTTTGCAGGTTTTATCTTGCAAATGAACTCTTCAATTTACAAAGCAGTTTCAATGAACAAATAGTGTTCTTTAGCAAGGATGCAGGAAAAACATTTTTCAGACAGTATTTAAATAATCTTCAGTTTTAGTACATGTAGCTGTTATGGTTGGCCATGGTAACAGGAAATAACACAAATAGACAGAATTCCTTTTCCAAACTTTTTACGAACATGCGTCACATATAGCAGTCAGGCATCCATCTTCCCTCTCTCACCTATGTTCTCTCATCATCTACTGCCCCCTAGCGGTAGACCACAGCAGCACAATAGGTCAGGCGTAAATCTACAAAAAGCTCACGTCACTAAAAAGTTAATGTACTTCAGATATTCATAAATTAATGTTTAACTCATAGTATGCACAAACACTAACAATGATTGACTTTGTATTTGACTTGTCATTTGAACGGCAGCTATGCATTTCTGAAGGATCAGATAAAGAAAGACAGAAAGATGGTAAATTATCCCCACCTGGTTGTTAGTTAATGTCAACTAGGGATATAGTTGGGGGCAATGGATGGAATACTTCAAACCAACTAAGACGTGTTGAAGTGAGGAATCAGAGCTGGACCAATCTCTAGGGTAGAAGTAATCTAGGTGTTTAACAGCTACATCAGGGGTGTCCAATCCTGGTCTTAAGAGAGCTACCATTCAGCATGTTTTAGATGATTTCCTGCTCCAATTCACATGATTCAATGGTTGATTCCCCTATCCAGAAGCTCAAGCTCTGCAGAATCCCATTAATCACCCACTGATTAAAATCAGATCTGTTGGAGCAGAGAAACATCCACGATGTAGAGGTTGTTCTGCTAATGTATGCTAAATAGATGCCCTCGAAGATCAGGGCCCTCATTTAGCAACCATACTTGTGCACAGACCTGTGCGCATTTTGTGTGTTAGAAACAATTTTACACATCATGTGGTATTTATCATTTTGTACTTGAGTGTGGAAATGTTCCCAAACATAAAAAAGGCTCTGACCTTGCATACAAACAGCATCTAGTGGTAGGACAGGGGAACTGCAATACTGAAGGTCTCAGTCGTCCACACATGTTCCTCATCCACTAATTATTATATGCAATAAATAATTATATCAGTGGAAAATTAGCTTTATTACATAACGAGTGTTACATTTTGTAATGAGGCTAAATTAGAATTCAAAACAACAACTTCACTTTCAGTTTTAAAAAAACTTCTCCGTAGAAATATTTTTGAATTTGACTTTGATGGATGTGTTAGTGTTTACAAATTTAGTCTATAGTCATATTGAGAAAATTAAATATTTGATTAGTATGTAGGTTAGGCAATAATATAAGCTTTTGCTTCACCTCAATTATTTTGAGTCATGGAAAGTTCAAGTGTTCATGTGTATGTGTGTGGATGATGTATGTACTTATGTGTGTGTATATATATATATATATATATATATATATATATATATATATATATATATATATATATATATATATATATATTTGTGTAAGTAAGGGAATATATGTACTTATATGTATGATCTTCTTCAGTCTACATGAATTACATTGTTGACTGAATAAAATAAATACAAACAGAAAATATCCAAACCGACTGACAGCTCTGCACTCAGACATTTCCAAACAAGAAGAAAACAAATTTCAAAAAGAACACGCATTCAAGTCATTAAATGTAACCTCAAATAGACAATAGAATGGAACAATCAGTCCATTACTCAACATTTTTTCATATTCCATTTTATGTTTTAACCATTTTTTTCTTGATTTCTGACAGGGACCTCTCCTCTGTCCCAACCACATTTACAGTAATAAAATTACAGCCTCTGCAACTTGTTTGGGTCTCGTCTACTTCGGCAACCGGTGCCTCCATCTCACCGTCAATAAAGTTGTATTTTCTTTCCAGAAACATCCAAGGGAATCCCCTCAAGAGCAAAGGACATGGTGTGACCAAATATGGTTAATTGAGAGCGTTTCTGTATGTAAATGACCGTGAACGGAAAGATCACCTGGGGAAGCACAGGTGGGATTTATCAACAGTCGACTACAGAGGAACACGCATACGAGTGGCCACGGCAAGTCAGGATTTTGGCCGTTCGTACAAAGATACTAAACTTAATTCATAGGAAGGAATAAAGGACAGTTTCTATTATAGTCTAATGAATGAGGTCCATGGAGTGGACACCCCATGATCTTCATGGTGTTGGATGACATCTTGGCTGACAGGCCTCTGCAACCTTGCGAGTCTTTTAAGTGTGGTGGATCCCAATTACAAGATTTTCAACCCCCAAATATGAATTTGGTTTGTAGTTTGTGAATGTAAGTTACTTAACAAAGACAGGCCTGGGATTTATAGATATATTATCAAGATTTAAAGAAAAAAAAGTCAGCCGTGGGAAGATTTCGAACACTGAAGAAGGTGACACTTCTTTCGATTTAAAATGTTTAAGGTAGCCTGCTGATGATATTACATCAATATATAATGGTTTCAATAAAAAAAAAAAACTACAAGAATGCAGTACCTGTGCTTTGGTTTTAGACTGTAGAGAGCATGGTTGAATCTGCGGTTGAGCTGGCTCTCTCCCAGGGAACAGAAGACACCAAATGGGAGGATTCTACGGAAAAAATCAACCACTCTGTTGAATTGCAAATCTAGAGGAATCCCTCCTTCCCCGACTCGGTTCAAAATCCAGGCTCCCCTTCGAGTGCTCAGGTAAAGCTTTGGAAAAGAGGAAAAATTGTCAGCAAGTTCATAGAGACACAAACTAAATATTCGGAGGCTGTCAATATATCAAATAAAGACTCTTTCATATGGTCAAAGCTCTGATTGTTGCTGATTTATTTCATTCGAATGTGCAGCATTTTACAGAATCTGATCATTTGTAACAGTAATGTGGAATATTTGATAAAAATAAAGTGTTTTATTAAATATATTTAGATCACAAATATTTCACACACGTAATAAATGATCTTGGTCTAACCTGCTTGGTGACTCTGCTCAGTTCAACTGCGATGTCTCCTCCTGAGTTGCCTATTCCGATCACCACCACCTTCTTATTCCTCCACTCTTCAGGAGTTTTGTAGTCTCTGCTGTGAAAATACTTCCCCTTGAAGGTTTCAATACCTGAGGAAATAGAGGGAAAACATTTTTTTTTACCTGGACTCATTGCAACAAACTGGAATTGAACTAGACATTGACGTTTTTATATAAAACACACAAATCAAACCTCAAGTTTCCAACATTCTATCAACACTGTGGTTGTTGGTGATAGTTGTTGATACAGTGATGCTGTGTGAAAATGACAATCCCCTCAAACTGTGCTTTGTGAACATGGAGGAGATAAGGGTCTATACAGCACCTTACCTGGGAAGTCATGGAGAGGGAGGTTCGGCTGGCAGTGATGTCCAATACAGATCATCACTGCATCAAAAATGTGTTTTTCTCGTTTCCCATCCCTGTTCTCGGTTTCAACGTCCCACTGGCCTGATCGGGAAAAATCTGATCTCTGTTTGATCTGCAAGACTTTGGTCTGGACACACAAAAACAGAAACAACTGGCTCGTATCAGAACAGTGTTTATTTAATCAACTGAGTGAATGGTTGGTTGTTTTCAGGAAACGTAATCAAAGTTCTTTCTCACATTAAAGCGTATGTGCTTGGTGAGCTGGAAGTGGTCAGCATACATCCGAAAGTAGTCCATGATGAGGGAGTTGTGCATGAAGTTTGGGAATTCTGCAGGAATGGGGAAGTCACTGAAACACATCATCTCCTTGGAGGTGTTGATGATGACTGAGTGGTAGATGCTGGCCCGGTCTGGTTCTGGATTCTCCTGCAAATGACACAACCAGAGGCTCAGAGGAAGCAGAACTTCATCTCCTCCAGCATGCACCATCATCACCCACCTTAAACCTCCAGAGACCTCCAATGTCATTGCTGCTTTCATAGCAGATGGGCTCCAGCCCTTCATCCAGGCAGCATTTAATACAGGCCAGACCTGAACTCCCTCCTCCTACTATGGCCACACGACGAGTCATGCTGCAGCTCTGGGGAACAAGTCAGTTCAAAAGGGATTGAGCTGCCAGCAACGATCAGGCAAACATGCAACAGACACTGCAAGCACGCCACAAAAATTACTTTGTGCAGTTCACTCTCGGTGATTTTGTGTTAATAACCAGGTCTTTTTATTTTAAAGCCTTCTCGACCGCGACATCGATAAAAGAACGTTTGATCTGAGCCCAGAAAGCCTAGGTTTGTCACACACATGTAGAACATTAGCAACATTAAATGGTCAAATTAAACTGGAAAACGGAGCAACATTGAACGCAACGCGATGCGAAAGCACGACGCTCATAACAGCTGGTGCGTTAAAGACCATTTTTATCAGTCTGAGAACTAAACTTTTCATGTAAAAGTGCGCTCACATGTCACAAAAATGCGTAGAGTTCTAGCGTTTACTTCCTCCTCGGTCTGGAGACGAAAACAGTTCCTGTTGTGGGATCAGCTCTGCGGTGGGCGGAGAGTTTTTCTTTTTTTCGCAGAAGAGGGAACGTAAACAACAAGACTTCTGCTGTGGAACAAAAACGCACGCTTCATTAAATAATCGCTTGAAACTAGCAGGGGGGGGGATCACCGACTTTTAGAAAGCATGCTATCTACGATGATGTTTTAAAAAGTGACCAAATGACTTTTACAGGATAAAAACGTTTTATTGCCTTTTGTTTCTCAATTATCACCACGCCCAGAGGGCAAACACACAATTCTGATACATAACGTGTTTTTAGTTATTTAATTTATTTTGGGGTCAACTTACGTTTGCAGTCTGCAACATTTTAGAATAAACCCTATTTGTAATATTTTACTATTAAATATTAACAGGTTTTACGCTATAGTCTAAAATAAGAGTTTAACCTGTAATTTCCTACAATCGGTAGTAAAGTGTTGTTAGCTGTTCTCTTCCCAAGATCACAAATCATCTAATTTTAAAGTATTGTCACACTTTTTAGACAAATTCAAAACAAATAATGTCATACTTAATTTTCTCTGCAGCACCGCAAACGCGTGCTCAACTCACAACCTGTCTTTATCCCCTCCCCCCAACACACACACACACACACACACACACACACACACACACACACACACACACACACACACACACACACACACACACTTGTTTTCCTGCGTTTCTGGTGCCAGGTATTTGTTTTGTGTTTTATTTGCCTCTTAATCTGCAGTATTTTTCCATTTTATTTTGCTGTCTGATTGGCTGTTTCATTTGTGTGCAGGGTGAACTATGGATTTTGGACTTTATATTTTGCCTGAGTCAAGGCTTGGTTCACCTGTTAATAAATAACCAAACATTCTCATGTTAAGTAGTTTTTAAACTATAAATTAAGTTATTTTGAACAGAAATTGAGTGTAACATTTTTATGGTAATATTTCTTTTGCAAGAAATTGCATCATAAACAATACCCCAAATGAGGTGGTTGATCTAATCTTGTAGACCGAACAGCTTTTGGCAGTGTAGGAGTTTAATAGTAGCTGAATCTTTCACTTTTGACTGATTCACTCATTTGTTATTGTTGGACAATTAACTCCCACACCCTTTGTATTTTTCTGATACCTCTGCTAGAAACAGTCACATCAAGACTTTCAATAAGGCCTAATCACTCTGCAGGGCACTGCTTGATCACACACACATCCAAGTGTTTAGTTAACCAGTAAAGGCCTCACTAATGGCTGTATAATGATCAAACTGCCTTTATAGCAGACCTGAATTAAGAACCTTTGTACATTTTTCAAATTTGAACCTAAGCACAACTCACAGCAGCAGAGAAATGAATGCCCTCAGAAACAGACACACACAGTTCTTGATCATTATGCACATTTATTTTATTCAAGAAATGTCTCTTGCTTTCTTTAAAAAAAAAGTAGTTAATGTTGTTTCATCTGCCAACAAACAAAAGTCTGGGGTTTTAATTCTTGGTCCTCTGCTGCCATTACCTGGCCACACGTTTCAACACGAATGTAAAAAAAACGTTTCAGGGTTCAGCAAAAGAAAAAAAAATACCTAACAAATTAATGAATAAATAGGGTAACAATATACTTAGGCTAGCCTTATTGGTAGCGTAGGCTAGCTTTTTTCTGCTGTCATCATTAACGTAACCAAAATGGTTACACCTTCCGGAGGAGCAGCAGCAGCAAAGAGTGTCAGGCACAAGTAAAAGACATAAAGTACCAGAGAATATGAGTGGATATGAATGACCGTGTGTCAATTATATTCTTTTGGTTGCGCCACTTTGAGAATATTACAGTGGCCGTGTGCAGGACACAGCTGCCTGGAGCGCATCAACAGCACTCTCGGATTCTCCCCTCAAAATAATACCCGAATGTTAAGAGACCATATAGATCAGGTGTGCCCAATCCTGGTCCTGGAGGGCTGGTATCCAGCAGGATGTAGTTTTAAACCTGCTTCGATTTCAATCAGCAGGTGATTCTCGTTTAAACAATTTGAAAGCTTTTGTGTAATAGCTGTAGAATTCCACTCTTAACTTATTAAGTGGATAATTTTGTTTTTAAATTTAAAATTTTGACTAAAAGGTTTATATTAGAATAATTCAACAGTCTTCAAGTCACATGTGAACAATAAAGCAATGACAGGCTCAGCTGGAGACCATTGAACTATTTTGCAGCCAGTAAGCTGTTGTGTCTAAACCTCATTGTAGGGCTGGGCAATAAATCCAAAATGTATCGTTATCGAAATTTCGGACTCTTGTCGTGGTAATTTTCCCCCTTGTCAATACATTTGATAAAAAAAATGAAAAGATGTGTGTAGGTTGGCAGTGTTAGTGTCCCTTTAAGAAGCTGTACCACCTAAATGTGATTCAATGTAATACATGTGATAGCGCCATCTAGTGGACAACTTTTGTTTCTGCACATACCTGTAGTTATCATCCATTTATCTTTATCGGGGTGAAATCCTCAATATATCGTGATACTAATTTTAGGCCATATCGCCCAGCCCTACCTCATTGAGAAAAATGTTAGGTTTGATTGATTTTGGAAATTTTTATTTCACATTTACTTAAACCAAAGATTGCTGAGGAAAACCTTACTGATGTCCAGAATCTGAGAGAAATGTTGACATATTGGGACAGTGTTGTTTTGTGACAAAAGCAAAATAAAAAACCATAGTTGCCCCAAATGTAATGAACCAGGGTGAAAACAAGATAGGCTTTGTGGCAGCTGGTTCTGCCACCATTCTGGTTCTGAAAGGCTTGTAAACTCGACCCCACTGTGTGAGGATGGCCCGTCTAGCACCTGCCCACTGTCCCGACCCAGTGAGACGATACTGGTACGGTGTGCAGGGCCCAAAAACGACCTTGGTCCAGAGTACAGGATCCGTCAGAAGAAGTCTCAGGAGCCTGGGTTTAGCCCCCACCTGTGATTAAAGGTTCATCAAGAAAATTTGATCTACAGATGTGTCCAACATTTAACAGTATTGGTAGGAACTAACCTCTTTAGCCATGAAATCCATGTATGAGACGTAATCCACCTGTACAGCAGCCTGTCTTGGGCATGGATAGCTGAAATCATGTTTAAAAAAGTAATAATTTTGGTTCAAAGCTCCGCTTTCAGTTGTAGGATTAATTCTACCTCTGCATGTTTGACTTTCTCTCTGCCTCAATGACTCCCAGCATTTTCTCCTTGGATGGAAGTCGGCTTAAACCTAAAAGATGAAATACACAAACTCAAACAGTTTTTTTCCTCTGTGTCCCTGCTCACTCCACCCCCAACGGCGCACAAACACACCTGAAAACACCTTAACAGCCCAGCGCGCCTGCATCTCCACGATGGGCATGATTGGTCCTTTTGCTTGCAAAATACCCACAATGGCCAGTGTGGGGTGTTGCAGAGTGGGAGGAAACAGTTTTCTACATTTATGAAGAAAATATAAATATTTTTATTGTTTCTAATGTGAATATTTCTAATTTTATAATGTTTTAAGTGTAAATACATGTAATAAACTACATTTTTTAGATCAGTGGTTTCCCAACCTGGGGTCTGTGACACCCATAAGCGTGTCACCACAAGATTGCAGGGGATCCCCACAAATTTGTTTGTGCTTAGGTAGTATGGTTACCAAGATTATATTAAAAAAAAAAGATTTATAAAGTCACAGTTACTCACATGTGTAATCAAAACTCCATATAGAGTTATAACTATGTGTGTGTGTCTGGTTAAGGTTCAGGTAGGTGCAGGAGTTGGGAGTAAAAATGTTTGGGAACAACTGTTTTAATTTAGACAGATGAACATGTTAGACGTATAGGCCTATTTATTTATCAATGGGTGCTGGTTATGTAACTTTTTTTAAATCACAGCTTTGACTTTTAAAATGTAAGTTAAGGTGATTTAACAATCAGTAATGCACACTATTGATTCCTAATTTATTTAAAAGTAAGTGATTACATAAAATAGTAAGTTACTAAATTGCATATTAGTATTTAAATATCAAACTAATTAACTTACTTGTACAGAATCAGTTCACCGTAGGCTCCCTCAGACAGAGCCGAGGGCAGGAATGGGATCGTTGCACTATAACCTGTGCAGAAGACTATAGCATCAATGTCCTCCTCAGTTGTGCCATCTTCAAATACAACTCCTGATGTTTTGAATTCTCTGACGTTGGGCTTCATGACTAAACCCCCTTGAAGTATTCGATCTGGAAGATCATCATTTATTAATAGTCTTTTGTCCAAAGCTCTGTGAAAAAGAAAAGTACATTTATTAAATTATGTTTTCAAATTTCACATCGATATAGCCATCATTTTAGGATTTGTTTATCTGACCAACAGCTTGGGAAGGGCTTTGTTTCTCATCATAAACTGAATAGTTTACTAGTCTCTTTCAGGTTTGTAGAAAGTCCTTCATGGTGTCTTTAAATTTCTCCTCATGCCTGAGGTTTTGCTTCTGCAACCACTGAATGTACGGTTTTATTTTTTATTTTTTTTGACAATTTCTTAGTTAATGCCTCATCTGCTATGTAAACTCTGACATGTCCTTTTCCAAGTTGGCAAGAGCATGTGAAAAAAATCTCCTTGACGTGTCAGTTGAAAATCTCACACGCAACGGCTGCTGTTCCCAGGTTACCCCCACTGCTAGGCAGGGTTTATAATGGCAGCCTCATCTCTACTGCCTCCAGATTCCGCTAATCACCATCAGCTCTGCCGCTGTCTTTATATTTGAATCTGTGGCAGTGTGCACAAGGGGAGGGGCTGCTGGTAGCCTGCTGGTGCACAATGGGCGGCAATTAGCCGCTGGATGATTATAAAGGAAGATGCCACAAAAGACAGGTGAGTGCAGATGTGGGGAGCTGGGTTTGCTTCCGTCTACTGTGAACGTGGCGGTTACACTGCACCTGTATGTGTGTCAGGGTGATTAAAGATGTGTTGGAGTCGGAGATGCAACATGTGTCCTTGTGTGAACAGACTGGTAGCTGCTAAAGTGGCACCCGACGTGGGACCTCCCACATACAAACTCATGTTGTATGCTTTTCAAGATCCTGATCTTAGTTTTTGTATCTGTCAAGATCTGCCCCACCGTATTTAGCCTCACTGCTGACCTGTTATGTCCCTGCAAAATTGTTACGTTTAGGTCAGAGTGACCTCCTGGTGGTTCTGCGGGCGAAGTGCAAGTCCAGGGCTGATCGTGCCTTTTCAGGTCCTCGGCTTTGAAACCAACTGCCACTAGAAATAAAACAGTCCACATCGCTGCCCACTTTTAAAGCTATAGGCTTAAGTTTGATTTTAGATTGATTTCTTATTTTTTCTACTCATGTTTTAATGTTTTGATCATCATTGTTGTTTTATTGTTTTTAACTTTTATTGCCTTTGAATGTTGTATTTCTGTATTTCACTATGTAACTGTTTTATTGTGTTTTAGTTGTTCCTTATACTATGTTAAGTACCTTGGACCCCTTGATTGTGGGCAAGAAGGAGCTTTAAAAATAAACTTGAACTTGAAAATGTGTCATCATCAACTCATTACCTGTGTTTTGGTTTCAAGCCATACAGTTTGTGGTCACATTTGTTGTTCAGTGCTCCCTCTACCACCCAGTTGACCAAAGTCCCAGGAAAATGCTTTATCAGAAGGTTGTTGAACCTGGTGATCCCTACCATGTCCAAAGGAAGGCCATTACGAGACTTTCTACCAATCACCCAGGCCCCCTCACGTGTACTGAGAAAAGTCTGGCAGGGATGAGAAGAAGAGAAGCTGTAATTTTACAAAAGTACAAAAACAAGATATTCTGTTAAAAAATATTCTCTTCAAATATTTTAGCTTTCCTGTTTTGGTTCTATTCCTACCTTCTCTGCTGATCTGCTGATCTCTACAGCAAGATCTCCTCCAGAGTTACCAATTCCAACAATCACCACTTTCTTTCCTCTGTAGGCATCAGGATTTTTGTAATCCCAACTGTGAAGAAATGTTCCACAAAATGTCTCGTGTCCTGCAAGAAAACAGATGGTGCCAATGTTAAAAACAGAGACTTCAGGCATAATTGAAGGCTAAATGGTGATAAGGCATCAATTAGATTACCTTTAAAGTCAGACAGAGGTAAGACTGGTTGGGTGAAGTGACCTGAACACACTAGAACTGCATCAAAGATGTGCCTCTCCTCATCACCATTCTTGTTAATCGTCACCACTTCCCACTGACCAGACTGAGAGAAGTCTGGGCTTTGTGTGACACTCGTCACTTTCATCTGAAGAAGTTGCACCAAAAATTACAAAAACAAACTAATCCACAGAATTTTGGCTTTTACAGAAAAGATAATGATAAAAAAGGAATGACCTGGAAGTTGATGAATCTGAGAAGGTGAAAATGCTCAGCATAGAGTCTGTAGTACTTCATCAGAAGGGAGTTGTGTGTATAGTTTGGATAATCATCAGGCATAGGGAAATCACTGAAGCACATCATCTCTTTGGAGGTATTAGCCACCAGAGAGCGATAGATGCTGGATCGCTGTGGTTCAGGAGAATCCTGAATACAAAGGAAAATTAAGTTTTAGTTAATAGAAATGATGTTAAAGATTTGCGAAAGGGGTTGTATCACACCATTTCATGCCTTCCAGAGAAACGACAGGCACAATATATGATAAAATATTTTCATTGGCACAAATTTTCACAGTTTTTTTCTGGAAATGTAAGTTTTCGTAAGCCATTACTTTTACCCAGAAATAAGACTCTTGGATTCGATGAAATCCTGCCACTATCCATATAAATTCTACCCATTTCATACTGTAACCTTATTTCCTGGAGGTCAATGTGTTCCACCCAGTGATTGCTGAGTAAATCTGGATTTGAGACTACTTGGGTGCAGAGGAGCAGGAATCAGCCCCATCCAGGCTTTTCCAACAGTTTAACCCTAAATAATAGTTCTTTGTCTGCGTGGGTACTGAGTCACCCAACGCCATTATGAATCGGCACAAGGGCTATGCAACAGGCCTGCAGTGGATAATGGAGACATGCCAAAATTTTTAACTATCCATCGAAAGTGACGGAGACTGTAAGCTTGTGATTGGTCAGGACGCTGCTTCCTTTAAATTCGCCGACAGCACCGCCATTCCTCCCTAAAAAAAATAAAGATTGCTGAAGATATATAATGGCAAACAGAGCAGACACCTTGTGGAAAAAGTCAGAATATGTAAATGTTTATTCCCCCATGACTGAGGTAGTACAAAAATACATAGAAAGTATTTTCTTCGTGAAAGGAAATAACTGGAAATATGGGTTTGGATGTGGCGACCACGTGAAGAGGTGAAGGAGAATGAGGGACAAATTTGTTCATGCTAAAAAGTCTCTGAAATACATAAATACAATAGTGAATGCACTTTTGTGGACCTGATACACATCTGCAATAGTAGCATGATACCTCCAGAAAAATGCTACGGCCTCTGTTGTCCTGGCAGGGAATTGCTTTGTGACACTCCCCAGGTGACGGGTGATAAGTATGAAGGGAAAACATCATTAATGCATGTGTGCGACTCCACCTTCAAGCTGACAGAGAAGTATAGAGAGCCTAGCTTTTGGTGAATCTGAACCGCATTAGTTTATTAATTTGCTCCCTGTTTTCTCATCGATACTGCTGTGCATGTCCTCATAACACTGTCTTTCGCTTCTGCAAGCCACACACACACACACACACACCTCAGAATGGGAACGCATATCTGCCCAAGGTGTGAACCCATAATCCGGTCCCGAACCTGACCGCACTGATCCAGATGTGAAAACCCATAAGACTCCTCTCTTTCCATTCGGCTCATGGGTCCCTGGAAAAGGGGGGGGGGGGGGGGGGGGGGGTAAAATAAAGCAAGCTAACGGGGCTAAAAACGTTATTTTCTAATCCACTTTGCCTTATGCCCTGAATCACACATATGTTGTACTTCAATTTAAATGAAATGTAATAATGTGTGTCACTGTGTTTTGACGACGCCTGTCACGTACTTTGAGATTTATCAGTTTGTAAATGATTTGTAATTAGCACGACTACAAATCAGACGTTAGTACGTCGCATTTATGACATCACCACAGAATCTCTTCTCCCCTAGTGTAGCTGCTACTTACTACATGGCCAGATTTATGGTGGTTCTTCCCTCCTGAAAGAAGGATTTGAAATTCGCTGAATTTACAGACATTTTTACTCTGCTTTTCTCCGTGTCTGGTTTCATATCAGTTTAAAAATAGCATGGCAAATAACAAAATTGCTGTACAAAAAGAGGCTCAGATACATTAGTGGAAACAGCAGAAAACTGCGGAATTATCTAAAATGCATAAAAGGCATAGCATAAATAATCAAACATAAAAAAACTGATTTTAGTGATGCACATTTGTATTCCTGGATGTATTTTCACACAAAACCTAAAATAAAGTTTCTCCCATTTGAAAATAAGTACTTTCTTGGCATCAGAATTTGTCTTTAAAGGCCCCATGTGTGAAATCCATTGAAATCATGATGAAAAAATGCAACTCTTTAGCACCATGCAGTTTAGAGAAAGTATTGCAGCTATGGTGGCTCTCTCATGAGTTTGACTGTATAATCAATTTCTAACCTGTGTAGCTTAACCCACACAAAGCTTAAAACAAGCTACTTGACCTCTTTAAGAAAGCATTTATAATTATGACTGTTTTATCAGCCTTCCAGGTCAGAAGGAAGCAAGCTAGTTGTGTTAGATCTTGAAGCTGTCACGATTCACACATGGAGGAGGGGTGACGTCAGCCAGGAAGTCAGGTGTTGTGAGGAATTGTGTTCCCCTGAAATATTCTGTCCCCCCGTGTCGGGAGATCGCACTTCAGGCTATTTTCACAACATTTGTGATAAACTTTTATGGGAAAATGATGTAATGAAATGTAATAATGTTATGCTTGTGGTTGTTTTATCTGTAATTCCTCCTAAAAACAATAAAAAAGATACAGTAAAAGCATTTTTGTTCACTCTTTTGCAGCAAGCTTATTTAGCATTTTTGAAAGTTATGTAAAAAGATGTAATCTCATGGTAGTGTCACGAGCTACAGAGCTACTAGTTAGCCATGGCTAGAGGAAACGCTGTGTATAAACTCCCATGGATTACCAGCAAAAGGAGAACAAAGTCTAAAGGTAACGTATGAGAAGAAGCCCTCTGTGCGTCTCAGTAACGCGTGGAGAACTACATCGCCGTTAGTAAAGTGTTGTGGAGATAAACTAAACAATGCTGATTTAGCCACTGGCTAGCACATGAGCATGTTGGGCAAGACGGCAGGCTGCGGGAAGAGAGGAGACTTGAGTAGAAGTACTTTGGAACAGACACGTTGGGACCGGATCGGGAGTTCTGGTACTGACACGTTGGGACCGGATCGAGAGTTCTGGTACTAGGAAAAGACGGATGAACAACTTGAGGTGAGTTTGGGAGCAGGGGCGGCGTTAGGCCCGGCAACTTGAGCTCAAGCCCCAGATGTTTTATGAAAAGCCCCGGAACTAAATCGTGGAAGTAACATGCAGTACCAAAGTCCAACAGAGAGGGAGCAGCTGGCAGTAGTTTGTATACAGCCTGCCTGAGCCTCCACCACTGAAGAAGAAGCCCTTCAGCAGCCGGTGTCGGTACAGTATCTGCTCGGGTACAGGATCGGCTCGGGGTCCTTCGACTGCCGATGACGTCAAACTACGGCAAACCCACTCGGACAAAATACACTACACATCTATACTGTTGGAAAGAATTTAGCAGTTTCGTTATTAAAATAATGTTTCTTAAGACGTAAGTTTGTGTTTATAATAGTATTTGTAAAATAAAACACTATATTTGATTCATGTTGAACTCCTCTTTGAGCACATCCCTTGAAGGATCATAGGTATTAGCAACACCTGTGAAATTGTATTTGCAGGAAAGAAGTGTGTCCCGTTTATTGAAGTATTTGTGTTGAGTTTTTGACGTCTTGTCCATGCGTAGTTCAGTTACGCTCATAGCTGCTAGCCAAAACTCTGGAGTTAAAAGTTTTCTGGCTTTACCAAAATATCTGTCTGTACTTATTTGATTGATGGTAGTTTTACTTTCTATTAGACTCCAAATGTAATCATTTGGCACGTTTCTAATTCATAATTTGTAATAATGTAATCGGCGATATTAGCATTAGCATTCCTATGGGTTTTTCCATGTATATTAGCATTGCGCTAACCACTCACTGCCAAATTGCAGCCTTTGCCATTAGAAAATCTCCTTTTGTCACATCGCAATTTAATTGCACATGCAGTTAATCGTTCAGCCCTAATATACATGCAGCTCTATGCTAAAAGTGTATTTTCAAAGAGGTAATGATGGATTTCTTTGTAAAAGTTGTCCATCTTTCCAATAGAAAAAATTTGCCTGGACCAACGTCACGTGATAACAACGTTACGTGATTACGTAATTCCGTAAGGTTCATGTTCAGCCAATCAACTACTTAGCCGTCATCGGCAGTCGACGGACCCGAGCCGATCTTGCACCCGAGCAGATCTTGTACCGACACCGGCTTCTTCTACAGTCTCTGCCTGAAACACGAGTGAAGATGGACATAAGGACGTTTTTTAATCAAAAAGTACGGCGACAGAACCCCAGCTTTGATGAGACTGGTGTTGACTCAGGTTTGTGTCTTATTTGAAAATATTTGTTGTGCTGCTGGTTTGCCTAAAGTTAGCTTATCAGGTAAAGTTGTTGGAGAAAGAAAGGGAATATTTACTATCATCTCACACTAAACACTAACAGGAACAATACTCTGCCCTGAAAATGCTTAATATGTAGCTTCCGATTAAAAATTATGTGGTACAAGACAAATATATATGATGTTGACTAGTGCGTGTCACGTGTGTGTGCGCATGTGTGTGTGTGTGTGTGTGTGTTAAGCCCCGGATCTTCTTCATCCGCCCGTTTGGGAGTAGAGACACAAATCAGAGGCTGGTGTCCAGATAATAGCGGGCGGGGGTCTGAACATATGCAGATTTCTTGTGTTGTGTCTTTTGATTGAAAAGTTTTTTATTCAAACTAACAAGTACAGCAACAGCGTAGCTATTCTTTTCCATTTCTTAGATGAATTAGCAGACTCAGGGCGCACTGATTCCCTCTGCTGGTTCTTTCAGGTTACAGTCATAGTCCAAACGGGTAACTGGAGCTGTATGTCCCTAAACAGCTACTGTATTTTAGATGGTGGATGACCATGGAGCCTCGACCACAGTTTATATATATAAAAATGTATAATTTCAAGTTGAGAGGAATATTTAGAATTGATGTTGGTGAGAAATATTAGTGAAAAAGGACAAGTTTGTGAACTGGAAACACAGGATTTGATAGTAAACTGGTAAAAATATCACACTGCCTTTAAAATTCACAGACATCATAAGTGAAAGTCATGGCACATATTATACAGTATTAGAAATAGCGTTTTTAGCATTCATTTTTTTGGTCCGGAAGCAGATTGGCGTGACTATAAATCAGGCTTTTGAGCTAAAAAGATAAAGCTGCTAAAAGAGGAAAATGTATGTGAATATGCATTGGGGGCATGAGGAAGTAACAATAGGGCCTATAACATGGTCAAAAGCTCCAAAAAGAGGATTTTCCATGATTAAGACACTTTATGAAATCTGCGCATGCAATATACACCTTTTACAAAATATTTAACAAATATGAAATTACCTTAAAGTTCCACAGACCACCAATGTCATCACTGCTTTCAAAGCAGACAGGCTCCAAACCCTCATCCACACAGATTTTGATACAGGCCAAACCTGAAACACCTGCTCCAACCACAGCAACACGCTGAACCATTGTTGCTAAGTAAATGAAAGCAGAAATGTTCACACATGGCAGCAAAAGTAATAACCTCTCTTGTCCACAGACATAATGTTCTCATTCCCTGGACTACAGAAACAAATATAGTGCTTTTTCCATTCATAATTTTACAAAAATATTTTAAATGTCTGACTTTAGGAGAAACACCAGCTGCTGTCGGTCATTCTCACCTTCCTCTTTAAGTTGATGAAACATTCTGCAGTAGGACTCGCTTGTCAAACAGGCTGTAAACATGCACAGACTAAACTGTTGTGTAGGCGTTTCTAGCCCGTTTAAATTCAACCCCAGTTTGACATTTTTTAAATTATCTATTTATTTTTACCGTTTGTGGTTATTTTTTAAACACATTAGTAATATATTAAAACCATACAATAGGTCAAAATATTGTATTTTAAAAACCAAAATACAGCAAATCTCCCCTGTCTCAAAAATGGTTTGATCCTGCTCACCTTTTGGATCTGAGACTTCCTGAGTGGCTGCTGTTAGGGTGACCAATCCTGCTTTCTGTGGGACAGTCTTGAATTTACATTATTTTTCGCAGGTCCTGCTAATTGAGACGCCGTCCGGCATTTTTGACCGTCACCCATTTCGTCTTTGAAGCTTGCATAAACTGACTGTGAGACCAAAAAGCAGCTGTCAATCAAGCTAGAAGGCGGGATACGACGCAGCCCGCGCCGCTCACGAACCTCCAGGGGCGGTTCTAAACCAAATTTTCCAGGGGGGCCACAGTGGGGCCAGTATTTTTTCATGGGGGCGCAAGACAAAAAAAGGGGAAAATTAGGGCAATATCAAAATTCTTTTTTGTCTCTGCCCTATGACTAATTTTGTGCTTGTGCACAATTTTGCCAAAGGAAATTCCTAGTACTGTGAAACTACTCACTTTTTTGTTCTCTTCGTTTTCATATCTATACTATATTTTGGGGATCAAATTAATCAAAAAATTTCCTTTACTTTTTTCATCTATGATCTTTTACAGCTGTATTTTACTAAAATAAGATTCAAATAAATTCATAAGTAAACACAATGAACAAGTAAACTATTACAGCGAATGCAGTAATGGTTTACTTGTGAAAGTAAAACTGGCATGTTTTTATGGTATTCGGATAACATGAGACTTGAGTAAAAAATAATTCTAGTTGTAAATTATAGTTTGTGACTTTATTTGAAGATTACATGTACTGTACATATGAAAAATAAACATTCAAACAAATTAAATATGTGCACAATACAATTTCAGACAATTTTCAGACAATTTCAATTTTTGCCTTTTAGACTTTGCATGTACCAAAAACCCCTCCTCTCTCAGTTGCTTTTATCCAGTTCCTAAATCCACATGGTGAGTCAAACACACTTCCTGCGCTACTTGGTGGGCTAAAATGTCTGCATGCATTGCAATAAGTAGAGTCCATAGTAACAGAATATTCAACCCAAGGATGACTTTCATACCAGCTTGGCTGAAAGCTGCGTCTTCTGTCTCCTATTAATGTAACTGGAAATGTCCTCAAACCAAGGACGTAATTTTCACTTTAGAAGTAGGGGGGACACGGGGGTGGGGGGGGTGGGGGGGGTATTGACAGTATGCTCTGATGGGAAACCGGCTTCAACACAAACGGTTGTTTTCCGCTTGGTCCTAGAGCTCAACCAGTGTCAATTTAATATAGCATACTATTGTTTTTGGATGGTAAAAATTGCAGGGGTCAAAACTTGACTTTGGAAAAAGTGGGGGGGACATGTCCCCCCTGTCCCCCCCAAAAATTACGTCCATGCCTCAAACGAGGCTGAGTAGGTGGGTCATCCTTGCACTTGCTGATATCTGAAGGAAAATAAATGTTAGAATGAGGATAAAAGGCATAATTAGTTCATTCAGAGTCTTATTTTATCTATTTATTAAATATAAACAACAGAAATTTTGGTCCAGAGTCAGCATGCCTCAAATGCATTTTACACACAGTATGAGCTGCAATCACAGAGGGGTTGTTCAACACCCACAAACCTGACGGTAGTGTACACGGTGCACATGACAGAAGATGTCCCTCTTTTTGCTCCTCACTCTCTTCCTCACAGCCTACATCTTCCTCCTCACTCTCAGGGTGGACAGCCTCTGACCTCTCTGGTTCCTCTCCAACCAACTTCTCCTTCTCTCTTTCATCCTGCTTCTCAGCTCCCTCGTGACTTTCATCCTCTCTCTGTTTATGCTGTTCTTTATTAACAGCGGTAAAAAAGGACAAAATGTCGCTTTTTCTTTTCATGGCCGCTGATGCTTCCAGTCAGTGCTGCGAGAAAGTCATAGATAAATGAATATTGTGATCCAATCTCAACGTGTCTAAGGCTTAAAATGCAGCAACTTCATTTTTATTTTACAGTTAATGTTACAAAGGAACAACAAATCAGTGTTAACTGTGGATAGACTCAGTTAGGAACTTAAAAGTAAATGACAGAAACGCGCGATCAGAACATTGATGTCAGGAAAATAAACTGTATTGCTTATCTTCGTCTCTTAGCGTCTTTTCCGTTAGTCGTCCTCAAGAATTTCTTCGGGTCCCATTTAAACAATTTTTAATCTTTTATTCAAAAATCCACCGGGTAAACTGTCCACAGACTGTGCTGCGCTCTAAAGGCTCCTTGTGAAACGCTGCAGCGCATTAGTTCCCGTCTCCGAGGCAGCGCGGGGGGAAAAAAATCCGATCTCTTCAGCACAGGGGCCATTACAGGGGCCAGGGCCGGTTCTATAGGAGCCCAGGGCCGGTTCTATAGGGGCCTAGGCCCCTGTGGGCCCCTGTTTAAAACAGCCAATGCTTCAAACCAAAAAGAAACGACAGTGATCATGGACTCATGGAAGATGCGCACGGTGGAGAAACGTAGTTTAAATAAAGAGTGAAGGCTTTTACTCCAGGGTTAAAGCTGTTCCGAGTTACTCTGTGATGGTTCAGTCATTTCTCTGTCATCATGCTGCTCAGGTTCCTCATAATCAGACACGTTGGTGCTAAAGAAGCCCAAAATGAAGATTCTAACACAGGCAAGGTGTTTGTGTTGTTTCACAGCCAAACCTTTTTGACCAACATGAAAGAAGAGTTGAAATAATTTAATTAAATCCTTGATTATTTATTCTGAGACATCTGAGAAAAAAAGTCAGAACATTAAGTTTAAATGTTTTCTTTTGTCAGTGTTCAAAGTCAGTGATTTTTTTCTCTCCCCTAAATATCTACTGTAAGAGAATGGTTGTCATTTTTGCTAAACCACCATTTTGTTTTTGTTAGTTTTTAAAATCAAAAAGAAAGAAAGAAAGAAATAATATCAAAAAAGTTTGGATTTTTTTCCCCAATGGGATGTTGATTTTAGTGGAAAAGTCCACGAAAATAAACAATCAATGATGAACAAGAGTCTGCATCTAGAGCTGCAGAAAGAAAAAAAAAAGGGGGGGGGGGGGACACAACGATACAAGAGCAAACTATCACTGCGGCAACCTAATGAGAAAATATGAAATCAACATTGGTTTACTGAGCAATCACACAATAGTAACTCACAGTGCATTTAGTGCCAACCACAGCTTTAAGACGTGTTGAAAATGCCCAAGTCCTTACTTATGAGAGCACCATGTGAGCACCTGTGTGCGTACACGCGCGTGTATACGTGAGGTTTCTATATAGGAGCGTCCAATGTTGAGTGTGAGGGGCCACAGATCTGCCCCCAAAGATGTGTAGAAGATGGAGGGAGCTCCAAGCCCCAGAGCAGGGGCGTAGCACCAAATTCTGGGCCCTAGGTACAAGTCTTCTAGGTGGGCCCCCATGCTCAACTGTTTAATATCTCTCTTACACATTTTTTGTCATGCTATAAGACAAGATAATAAATATGATCTTAGTTTAACCTCTATATTGAGCAAATACAAATGCCAGCATAATAAAAGTGAAATGCCCAGGCTTCACATATAATTACAAACAATGTGTTCAAACAAAAATCCTGGAATTTATTTTCCAGTAAAGGCCCACTGATGGGTCTTCATGTTAGCAAAATCATTTATGAGATCTTTAAAGTCCAATCCTTTGACTAATTGGCTTTCAATAGATCATGAATTAGGTCACCAAAATATAACCTAACATGTCCTTTCAGATAAATCTGCTGCTAATGATTGCTTGTAAATTGAATAACTTAATTGTATAGTGAGCTCACCTTGTCTCATCTCCTCAGTGCTTTCTGGAGACAATGAGGGCCCTGCTGCTGCTGCTGCTACTGCGTCTAAAGGGCCATGTGGTTCATGATGTTAAGCTTTGCTAATACTGATATATATTGATATATTAAATACATATGACATGAAATAAACCAGGTTCTCTCTGTGAATGTAATGTACTCTAAATTTTATAATCCCTGCATTATCAGCCAAATTATAAGATTGTCCGTTTTCAAGATCAAATATAAAGAAATTTAAAATAGGCTTAAAATATCTAACCAAGTCAATAACAATCCTCTAACACCAGTGTCATCATGCTATACGAAAAACAGTGGCAGCTTCTCATTCCTGAGATTACCACGAATCCATCGATACCAAGTTTGTCCTGGTCCATGACTGGGAAGGAGCTGAAATATCCACACAGAGTGAACCTGTTTTTACTGCGAGGTCCGCGAATTAATTGGCGGTGGCCGCCCGCGATAATAATTCTGATTAATATATATATAAATTAATTAGTGTTTTCACTGATAACACTAATTAATTTATATTTGATCTTGATGGTGAAGCTAAAGGTGTTTAACACTGAACAACATGAATGCAGCTTCTGAGAGCTAGCTAATATCAGCTAAAACTGTGTTCTGCTGCTCACCTTCCTTCTTGAATAACCTAGTCAATACTTGCTTCTATTCAATTAACTTTTTCTCCTTCTCCTTTTTTTCTTTTCTTTTCTTTTCTGGAAGCCAGATTTCCCTTTCTTGGGAAAAGACATGACTGACTCTCCTGCCTCCAGCTCTGGCTGTCGGCATCTGCGATGTCTCATAGCTGTACATGCGGCCGTGCAGCCCCTGGCCGCTGGTGTGGACTAAACCACTTTGCACATTTTTAAGGGGTGATTGATGCCTCAGAGATTATTCAGTTATTATTTTTAAGGCAAAATTCTGTTTCGTAACCTCTTTATCCAGGTAAAGGGAAGTTTATTAAGACATTAAGTAAGTTGGGGGAAAAAAACAACAACAATAAAACATTCTTATTCAAAGCTGTCTCAGGGCCCCTCCCTGCAGTGGGCCCTGGGTAAACGGTACCCCCCCCCCCCCCCCCCCCCCCAGTCCGACGCCCCTGCCCCAGAGATCCAGAAGTTGCCCCAGGGCGCTGGGACCCCAGGGTGACTGTAACTAGA